AAATGATTGATTTTTCTTTTATGCCAAAAATCATTAGGATATTAAGTAAAGATCATGTTCCATGAAGATATTTGGTAAATGTCCTACTGTAAATATATTAAAACTTAATTTTTGATTAGTAATATGCATTGCTAAGAACTTCATTTGGACAACGTTAAAGGCGATTTTCTCAGTATTTAGATTTTTTTTTTGCACCCTCAGATTCCAGATTTTCAAATAGTTGTATCTCGGCCAAATATTGTCCTATCCTAACAAACCATACATCAATGGTAAGCTTATTTGTTCAGCTTTCAGATGTTGTATAAATCTCAATTTCGAAAAATTGACCCTTGTGGTCCAGGGTCACAAATATGCAAGACACCACATATATAAAACTTCTATAAATTCTATGCACCTCCTTTCACTTATTCTTTGCTGAAAAACTAAGTATTAGTCAAGTCCTATTTTGTATCTCTTTTCCTGGAAAATGCTAAAAGTTCATTAAACCACACTGCCACTCAACACCTCCTGCAATATTCACATCAAACTGGAGGACATGCAGAGGACTGGTCAGTTTGTGATGTTTTACTTCTGTTTGCTTTGGTTGTGATAGCAATGTGCAAGCATATCATGATTTGTTTACATTCCTCTTCCACCAAGATAATTTAAGATTAGAGGTGTTGCAAACCCGTTTGCCCGGATACTCAAAGGGGGTCATTTTGTGACCATGTCTTCTGGGAGTTATGGGAAGTAATTTGCATATGCATGTAAGCATTATGAATGTAAAGGCAAAGTGGTGATGCTAGAAACGGCCGCTATCTCCAGATCTGTTCTGATACAAGTATGAAACGCTCATTTATACACTTTGCTGATATGGTTACACTTTTCTCGTTATTTAATCTTTAACAAAATGTGTCAAACATTTGTAGAGTTTGGGAGTTGAGGTTGAAAGAGCGCCAACTCCTCGTCTTATGGACTGTGGTGTACAAAAGACCAGGAAACAGATAGTTATTTTGGACGCTGTTACTCAAAGTGTTCAAGAGGACAGTATGACTTTCCTACATTCCTATGATGATCCAGATCTTAGCGCTGGACATGCCAGGTTAAATACACGTCTGGGACAGTTCACCCAAAGCATGAAAAGCCTGTCATTATATACTCACCCTCATGTCGTTCCAATCCTGCATGACTTTTTTACTTTAGCTGGACACAAGAGGAGATATTTTGAAGAATGTGATTTTGCTCATATAATGAAAGCGAATGACTGTGACTGTCAAGCTCCAAAAAAGCACTTCAAAGGTTCAAAAATATCCAGGTTTTGTCAGTGTGAATGAAACACAAATTGTATGAAAGAGCTGTGTGAACCTGCCTAAAACATACAGATTTTAATATCATGAAGGTTGGTAAATGATGATAGAATTTTCATGTTGGGTGAAATATTCCTTTGAAATGGACTTTTGTACCTTATTTACCCCTAAAGGATGCATATTAGTACCTTAAAGGTACACATTGCCTTTTGAAAGGGTACTACTGCCCCAGTGGCAATGCATGATGAACATATGCACCAAAAATGGAATGTATTATAATTGGTTCACTCACACCACTGTCTTTTGAAATGGTAGCTTAGGTTTTGAGATCCTGGAGGTTGTACCCTATCCAGATGTTGTGGTTGTTTGCTGTGGTGGAGGGGGATTTTCTTGCTGGTGTGGCAGCAGCCATCAAACTGTCTGGTTGTGAGAACACAAAGATCTATGGAGTGGAACCATAAGGAGGTGATAATTAAAATGCTCTTTTACAATGATGTTTGATAGTGTTGAGTAATGCTTAAGAAATGGTCATTTTTGCATGAAAACTTATTTAAAAAAGTAATCAAACTTTACAGTAAGGTCACATTTGTTAACAGTTGTCAACAATGAGTAATATATTTCTTACAACATTCATTAATCTTTTTCGATGTTCGTTATTAAAAGCAATAGTTCATTGTTTATTCATGTTATTTGAAAAATGCAAATTTGATTTGAAAAATGTATAACAAAATGCTGAAATTGCTAACAACTAACAATGAACGGCATTTAGTATAATCTTAGTTAACGTAAACTAACGTAGTTAACTAATAAATGGATCTCACTTGTAAGGTGCTACCGAAATGGTTAACACCGAACCTTCAAGCTATCAAATTAAGGGATTTAAGAAAAGCATAATTAAACTTTCACCACACTTCACTGTTTTGCGATTTGTGCCAGGAACAAAATACGTAATGGAAGATAATGATTTTGACAAAGCTGATATAATTGCACCATAAAAGATGGTAGCTAAACTGTACTTGTTTGAACCATGCAGTTATTTTGTGTAAAGTGTCACTCCCTTAATTATGATGTCAGATCAAATCATAATTTTTAAGATGTAATTTCACTGCATGACTTGGTTAAACAGAAAGTGCAGACAAATCATTTTAGATAAATTACATAGATTGTGAAAATATATTTTAACTCAGCCTCATGTTGTTCAAAACCCATTCGACTTTAATTAATCTTAAAAACACAAATTAAGATATTTTTAATATTTTCTCCTCATTTTTTGTCCATCCATCAAAAGTCTAGGTAATTAACATGAACTAACTCATTGATGAAGAATTATTTTCTGACAGAAAAAAAAAAAATCGTCGACTTGATTTCACAGATACTATTTAAACTGAACTGACCTGGATGAAGACATCACTGAATTCAATGATGAACTGCCTTTAAATGAAAATTGAGTTTTTACTATTATAATTTTGCATTATTGACACTATTTTCCTAATTAATGCTGTTCAGTTGCTTTGACACAATCTGTATTGTTAAAAGCGCTATATAAATAAAGGTGACTTGACTTATAGCGACAGGGGCAGTTCTAGACACTTTTTAGGTGGGCTTCAGCCCCCCTATCTGTTGTCTCAGCCCCCCCTAAAACTATCTGAACGATCAGAAAAGTTTATCATTCTCATGTAAGGCTTGTCAGTTTAAACATTTAATTGATTTTAAGCTATTCAAGCACAAGACGGCATGAAAGAGATCTCAATGCGGTACTTGCGCAATGTCATAGATCGTCTCTGTGCACACACACACACACCTGAAGTGTGCACACAGAAATCCTTCTCTCAGACATCAAGCAATACCAAACTGAGTTATTTTTATGTTTTATTAATTTTGAGCAAATTCGTACAAAATTATGTCTGAATTGACGAGTATCAACGTAAAAACAGTTGGTTGTATTGACGTAGAAACAGTTGGTTACGTCTTAAGTGAGTGTAAATAGTTACGAAAATATTGGATGTGCATTAATATAACGGACCCGTGCATTTCTTATGTTAATAATGTTAATCAAACAATAAAAGAAAAAGAGAGAATCACTCGCTGCCCTTAATTAAGTAACTTCTGTAGCTTTAATGGATATTTGTGTATATTTACTTCAATTAATTTAGGTAATTTGTATCTTTGTATCTAGTGGTCTGTCTGAGGGCTCAGCCCCCCTGTGGATGAAGTCCTAGAACCGCCCGTGTATAGCAATATGACCCAGCACCCAAAATAATATCAAAACACTCCAATGCAGCCTCCATTCGCCTCAGAACCCGATTCGCATGGGACTAATATTATCACAGGACCTCGGGGTTCGGCGAAATATGGTAGGTCATTTGCAGGGGAATTTTTACTTTACAAATTACAGACATGGCCGATTTGCACGGGATTAAGATCACAGACAACCTCCGCAATTATTACAAATGACTAGAGGTCACCAGGTAATACTGAGCGAATAGAGCTTTAGAGAGCTCTCTAATTGAATTAAAGAGCCTTCTAATTCAATTGTTACTAATAAGAATTGCATTAAAGAGCTCTCTAATTGGAACTCTTACTAGTAAGAATTGAATTGTAGAGCTCTCTAATTCAATTGTTATTAGTAAGAATTGAATTAGAGAGCTCTATAATCTTTTTATGTAGTTAATAAAACCTTACTTGTTTCACACTTGACGTGTTCATTGTTTACTCATAACCGGAGTCAATAATCATGCAGATTTACGTTACAAACTTATAGAATTGTACAGTAAGAAAGTTATTTCCTTTAACCAGGAAATTAACGTTCTTAGAATTGACAAGACGGTTGACCCTGAGTGGTCAGCTAAATATCTACAGTGGATCTAAAATATTAATAATTAATCATAATTAGTTATGGTTAATTATTCATATTTCCCCATGAGCTGATTCGCTACAGTTACTAATAAGAATTGCATTAAAGAGCTCTCTAATTGGAACTCTTACTAGTAAGAATTGAATTGTAGAGCTCTCTAATTCAATTGTTATTAGTAAGAATTGAATTAGGGAGCTCTATAATCATAATTGCTACTAGTAAGAACTGAATTAGAGCTCTCCAATTCAGTTCTTAATAGTAAGAATACAATTGCAGAGCTCTCTAATTAAATTATAATTTAAGCTCTCTTATTGTAATTATAACTAGTAAAAATAGATTTAGAGAGCTCTCTAATTGGCATTGTTACTAGTAAGAATTTAATTGTAGAGATCTCTAATTGAATTGTTCCTAGTAAAAATGCAATTGCGACGAGTAACGCTTGGAAGCTAAAACGGCTTGCCATATCCACATCCCTACTGCTTTATCTGCGCCACACAACAGAAAACTCTAATATGCAGATTGTGTTGTTTGTTCTCTAAACTCATAGGTGACTAACATATTATTATTATAAATAATTATAGATTATAGATGTTCTAAATTGTGCTGTACAGAAACTTATTTCAATTATACAAATTCTGAGCATACTTAAGAACAACAAATACATTGATTTCTTTTCAACATTCATAACATTAATATTGACTACAGTTTTTTGTTGCATATTTTTCATACTAGAGGTAAGATCTGGATGATTTTGCAACTCATTTTTTCATGTCTCATTCACTTATTCATGTCTTCCTGGTATACTTTTTGGTATGAATTAACTACGACATGTTAGCGTAAGTCATTAAGCCATTTTAAGCTTTATTTATAAGAAAACTATCCAGTCTCTAGACATTTTTTTTTTTTCTCAGACAACTTTTAGATATATCTTATGATCTCCCTCTTGGAAATTTGGCCCTAGTTGGAAACTGTATATATGAAAACATTGTATATTTCAAAATGGCTCACTCACATCTGCATTAAAGTAACGTTAACAATGTGTCACAAGATGCCTTTTTTCTTTTTTTTCATTAAAAAAATGGGATACCTATACCTATATAGGAGATATGAAAAGTAGATATACAGTGTGGGTTTATTTCAAATAATAAACCACTAGATTAGTTATGCAACATCTTTAGTGGCCATCCTGCAAACAACAGCGTCCAATAGACTGCCACACTTTTCCTCCTGTGGTGCGACTTTGTAGAGCTGCAATGAGAGACACAGATGTACTTTAAACAAGTGCAAAAAAAAACTAAAACAAAACCAAAAATTCCACCCGAGGAGACATACCTTTTTAATCTTGGCAACATCATTCAAATCAGACACTCGATCAACGGTAATCTGTTGCCCATCCACCTTTGAGATGATGTTATCGATGTTGAGGGTCTCGTCTTTATTGTGTACCAACACAATAAGAACTGCACTGTCACTGTCTGAGATCCCAAACCTTTTGAATGCTTCCGATATCTGCCAAACATTAAACTCTGTTAAAACTGCACACTGTAAACAAATAAAGTTAGTGTCAGCTATGTACATGTACTGAAATATCACTCACATTGTTTGTGGGTGAAAGACTAAAAATGATTTCCGAGTAAAGGCTCCGGGTTTTCATTTTCCCACTTTTATGTAGGTGAACGGCTTTATTTGCTGCCACCAGGATCTGGAATGCATCCACAACCTTTACAGAAAACATGAAAATAGTAAATATATGGCAAATATATCACAATTCAGCTTTACCAACACAGGAAGAAATTACATTTGAAAATATATTAAAACAGAAACAGGTATTTTAAATTGCAATAATAGTTCACAATATTAATGTTTTGACTGTACGTTGTATACTATAAATGCAGCCTTGGTGAGCACAAAAAAACTTCTTTCAAAAACATTAAAAAACTTATTTCGAACTTGTGACAGGTAGTGTGTGTATGCAAATGTTCAAAAACAGTATTGCACCATCCAAAACAGGGTATTACCATGGTACTTTCTGGAGGGAGTTAAGGATACCATAGTGAATTTCTGTATAGAATTTATATAATCACTCACTAATGAGATTAGTACGTGCTCTTACCATTGATGGATTGATCAAGGCGCCTTTTATTTCTCCATTCACTGCCATTTTTCTCAACTCCGTCGCATTTTTTACATCTTTGAAGAGCAGTTGAGTCACCGTGTATTCAGGAAACAGTTCTAAGTCTTGCGTAAGGTGCATTATTAATATTTTAATGTCTTCAGTACAACATGAACTTTACCTAGATAGCATGCGGTGCCCAGTGTGGCCACACACGGAACAATAATAATGTGACACCGTCATTGCTTCTTCTTCTTTCTTTCTTTTACTGGCAACCGCACTTAACAGCGCATTACTGCCATCATCAGGTACCTTGGGATCAGAAACATTTCCTCTATCTCTTAAAGGGGTCATATGATGCGATTTCAAGTTTTCCTTTCTCTTGGGAGTGTTACAAGCTGATTGTGCATAGATAAGATCCCTGAAGTTGCAAAGACTAAAGTCTCAAAACCAAAGAGATATTCTTTATCAAAGTTAAGACTCTGCCACGCCCCCCTAAAACGGCTCGTTCTAACACTCCCCCACATATCTACCTCACTATGTGGAAATATTTGCGCAATGCCGGCCAAATGAAGCTGGCTATTATGATAAGGGGCGTTACATTTCCGACGTGTTCGGCCAATCACAATGCACTGGGTCAGCTGGCCAATCAGAGCATACTGTGCTTGTCGGAAGGAGGGACTTTGTAGAAAACGAAGCGTTTGAAAGAGGCGGGGCATAGAGGACCTACAATAATGTACAGTATTTGAAAAATAATGTGTTTTTTGAACATTAAAGCATGTCAACATATTCTGTTACACCAATGTGTTACACACATTTTATAAAGTATATGACAACTACAGCAACAAAACACTGGCGCAGTTGTCTGAAATGGGCGGGGCCTAAAGCTCAGAAGTTGTTTCTAATTGGTCGAATAGCTATGACCGACGTATATAATAATACTCGTATTTTAACACTTTATTGTGTATTTTTAATTCAGTGTTATGTTTTTCGATGTCACTACGCAGATGATAAGTTTAGTAAATTAATTCATATACTTCCAAAGTAGAACGTAGATTACATGTGCAAATCGCTTCAGTTTTTAAAACAAAAATCCAGAGGCGGATTTGTGTGCCAGGCACTAATCTTTATACATGATGTATTTAAACAATTATTCTTACGAGAGAAGAAGTCATTATGATTTTTTTTAAATAAAGAATTTAATAAGGAACATATCATAGTATAGGTGATGTACATATTGAGATATGACTACATTGTTACTTACAACAGATTTATTATTATTTTTATAATCCGTGGCAACGTCGGGATGGAACCGATTGTTCACGCTTCCGGTTTCGACACGGACTTTAGTATGTGATGTACCAGTAAACTTAAAAATGCGATTTTTTAAAAATGCGATCTGTGCATGCATTTGTACATTTTTGACACTCTGGAGGAAGCTCGATTACAAGGAATGAATGCTTCGCATACTCCCTTAATCATCCTCTTATGTCATTCATTTCCATAAGTGTATTATCAAAGATCGCGTGTTTTTTTGTTTGTGTTCGATTGAGTAAGGATGGAGAAATTTGAGGGTTATGTCTTCACAGCTCTGTGCAGCATTAACTTTCTCATATCCTGCCTTATTTTCTCCAAAATCACACGGGAACAGAGAGATCCGTATATGGATGAGATATTTCATGTCCCTCAAGCCCAGAAGTACTGTGAGGGGAAGTTTAATGAGGTATGATTGTTAATAATTGTTGAATTTCTCAGTGTGTGTATGTGTTTGGTCATTAATGCCCATGTGTCGATTTCCACAGTGGGATCCAATGATCACCACTCTTCCCGGGTTGTATCTGGCATCAGTGGGTCTGATCAGGCCGCTGGTGTGGCTGGCGGATCTGAAGGGCAGTGTGGTCTGCTCTACTGCCATGCTGAGATTCATCAATCTGCTCTTTAACAGTGGGAATCTCTACATAATCTATCTGATCATCTGCAGACTGCACATCAAAGATAAGGTGTCTTATTTTATGGCCTTTATTTTTAATGGTGATTCTTCTATTAGGGGTGCATAACTTAACTGGTTTTTAAAATATTGAAAAATATCTTCAATAATCTAATTATGGCCCTGATCAACCTTAAAGTGTATAGTGTGTAATGGTGTGTAATTTTCATATTGTTTGTAATGTTAATGACTTATAATATATATATATATTTGTGTGTGTTTATAAAAAATGAATACAAAAAAATGATTAAACTCTCCTGTATAACCAACATAATAATGGTAACTAAATAGAAACGTTATTGGGAAGCAGATTTTATTACATTTCTCATTTTAAAAAAATTGTAATTCCTTGATTTTAAACCTCTTCATAATAAATTATTAATTTAGGGACGCAAAAAACAAATGTATAATTATTTTATCTTTGTATCACACTAGTGGGCATGGGACAAAATTTCTATAAATATATTTATTTAATATTAAAAATGTATTATTAGAGTTATTTTCTTTCTTTATTTTTCCAACTGGTATTTGAACATTCAAAACTCACAATCGTTGCTGGTTGCTAAGGTGTGATGTTATATAAAAAAGTATAAACCATAACCAAATCAATTGTTACAATTGGTTATAAACATTATAGTTTATTATATATTAATTATCGAGGGGGATGCATGGTTAGGAAGCGAGCAAAAAATAAATAAATACCTTTTGATACTCTTAAAGATATTACATTTGGTACTTAAAACTAATTAAATAATTTGCTATTCTTTTCTTTAAAATGACCCTACAGGACAGAATTTTCAATAAATATAATAGTATTTTCATTAATAGTAAAAATGCACAGCAACTAGATTTTGTCCTTATTCAAAGAAACTGACTGGTGCTTGCACATTCAAAACAAGTGTTGCTAAGATGTGATGTGCTTTTCATTTGTCTGTTGGGTTGCAGTCTATGTTTAGCCTGTTTTATGGTATACCAGGTGAAAACTGTAAATTGTACAGTAAAAAAGTATAGTAAAAAAAACTGTAAAAAGCCTAGTTTTTAAAAGAGGTACCTAGCAACCACCTAGAACAACTTAGCAATCGCATAGCCTTGAAATTAAGCCCAAAATCAACTGTAAAGTGTAATACTATGGCGTTATATTTCTATCTCTCTAGTCCCGTTCTGCCACTCGTAGAGTGTTCTCTGCCCTGGCTCTGTCCACGTTCCCAGTGCTGTACTTCTTCACCTTCCTGTATTACACTGATGCTGGCTCCACTTTCTTCACCCTCTTCATGTACCTCATGGCGCTTTATGGAAGCCACAAAGCGGCGGCGCTTCTCGGCCTCTGTGCCGTCCTCTTCCGCCAGACCAACATCATCTGGGTGGCGTTCTGTGCTGGCACTGTGGTGGCTCAAAAAATGGACGAGAGCTGGCGGACTGAATTGAAGAAGCGAGACGAAAAATCACCTTCTCAGGTCCCTCTAACCATCAATGGGGCAATGAGAGCGATGCGTTTCCTGTTGGAATTCCTCAAAACGCCCAACAATATAAAAGCTGTAGTCTCGTCAACATGGCCATATATTGTTGCAGCTGTTCTTTTTGTGTTTTTTGTTGTGTTGAACGATGGAATTGTGGTTGGAGATCGTAGTAGTCACGAAGCATGTCTGAACTTTCCTCAGATTTTCTATTTCCTGTCATTTACTCTTATATTTTCCCTTCCTACCTCACTGAGTTACCAAAGGGTAGTCAGGTTTCAACAGTCTTTAAGAAAGCAGCCCTTAGTTTATGCCGTACTGATGACGTTCTTCCTGTTTTTGGTCTGGAAATTCACATTTGTTCACAAATACCTGCTTGCGGACAACAGACACTTTCCATTTTATGTATGGAAGAGGATTTTCCAGAGACATGAGCTTGTCCGTTTCCTTTTAGTTCCTGGATATGTGTTTGCAGCATGGAACTTCCTAGATACTTTGAGGTCCAAGTCGTTGTTCTGGTTTCTGGTTTTCTCCGCGTGTTTGGTGGCGGCCACTGTTCCGCAGAAACTCCTGGAGCTCCGATATTTTATCCTTCCGTATCTGTTATATCGTGTCCACATCCCTGTACCGTCTTTACCCAGACTGCTGCTTGAGTTTGGCCTCTACACCGTAGTTAATGCAGCCACAGTTTACATATTCATCAGTAAAACATTTCAGTGGCCTGACAGTACGGCTGCGCAGAGATTCATGTGGTGACTTCACATAAATAATAAATTTAATTACTGAATGTGTTATGTTATTTTCACATTTCCTACACATAAAGGAAATGTAATTTATTTGACATTATTTTCATGTGAGTTGAGTATCGATTCAGGCTAATTATAATAGTGAATTTTGTTCATTGTGTCATTTTGTACTTTCCCCTTTTCCCTTGCTTATTAGTAAAAATGTGGATTCTCATGTAATTTTGAATGTAAGTTTCTCATTGTAATTGGTTTCTATCAGTGTTTTTTTTTCAGATTCTTATTGATCTTTTACATTTTTATTGATCTTTCCTCATTTCTTTGTGATATTAAATTTGTTTTGATACACGAACGTGAATGAATACATTCATTATCTCCATAATGTCAAGTGTTTAATAAGAATTTCTGGTTTCCCAGAACGGTGTAGTTCAGTAAAGCCTACAGTTGACTTACATATTCTACATTTCAAGCCTTGTTTTTTTTTTCCTGGAAATGAGGGCTAGAGAGTATTTATGCATATGCTCAGCCTCAGATCATGTTGAGAAACGGCTCCTGAGCCAGCAAATCATGGTCATTGTCTTCATGTACACCTGAAAACTACAGGAGTGGTAAAGCTGGATTGAAAGACAAAAAGAATGACAAAATTAATATACAAACCAGAAGAGTTTCATACTTTGACTGCATTTCAAGAACTTCTGACATGCAAAGAAATCAAAACTCTTTGTTTCCTTCTCTTTGAAATGAAAACTGGACATGCAGGCCTAGTTCAAATATTTGTGATGGGAGGTAAACAAATTAGAACTGAAGTTCCTTATTAGGTTGTCACTATAACCTATCACATATCCCTTTGTTAATGGATTTGCTAAAATCAGACGAAGTGGCTAAGAGGGTAAAGCAGGAAATAACTTTTTAGGGACGTAGTGCAGATCAAGTACTCAAGGCAGCTAAAAATGTTCGGGAGTATCTTGAAAACTCAGAACAAAAAGAGCTAGAAGAGCCAGAAGAGCTATAAGAGCCAGAAGAGCTAGAAAAGCCAGAAGAGCTAGAAAAGCCAGAG